TCCATATATATATGTATGCGCTGTATTGGCAACGACTTAACTCTAGCAATAAATTGCAAATTACGACTGCCGAAGCAGTTGATCGATTTTACATATTTGTGTCGAAATTAATCATACGTCATGTTAGCCCATTCTTATATTTATTTGTTCATTTGCAGATGTGTTTATTAAATCAATACTAAAAACACGATTTTCACTAAAGTCTATTTCAACAGCACTTAAAATGCAGCCAAGCGTCTAGCATAAAAAAATAGCTAAAAAAGCGAATTACTTCGTTTTTACTCTATTTAATTTTTTGTGTGAAAACTTTTTGCGCATGTTTTGATCGATGACTGCGGCTGAATAACAAACAGTGCTAGCCACAAAAGTATGTGCATGTTGCACATGAAATATATATATAAATAAATTATAATCATTCATAAGCATTTGCTTTAGTTTATAAATTTATTCCCATATTAAAATTATTTTTTCTAAGCATGTATATTAAACTTTTTTGATTGTGCTTAGCGATTTAGGCTATTTTTAATAATAATAAAAATATTTATTAGTATTCAAATTGTGATAAACTTGAAAATATACCCTTTTAGTCATTTTAAATAGGGTATTCTTATTGAATACTTTTAGCAGCACCATAAAATATACTTTACAATTTGCTGCCCTTTCAAAGTGTAAATTTATCAATCATACGCCATGGTTGCCAACCAAGCGACGCGCTTACAACACGTACGATGCATGCATGTATGTGTATGAGTGTGTCTGTGGGTGTGTGTGTGCGTCCAGACACACGTATAAACTGCTTTCAATGCACGCACGCTTGTCTTTATGCATTAATTTACTCCCTGCCAAGCTTAATGCTGCGCAAAATATATTTTTTAATTTTTACCTTTTTTGTATTTAAAAAATAAAGAAATATTATAATTTACAGCTCGCTAACGCTTTTGCTGATGCTGATGCTCTCCTGTTACTGTTGTTGTTGGCTGTGTATTATATTTAAAATATGCACAGCAACTAAAAGAATTTTTCACACAAATTGAGTTTGCTCCGCTTACAGCAGAAGTCGCAGTCGGCGTCAATGGCGACGGCGACGTCGACGTCATTGTCGCTGCTTTTGGCATTGCCAATTTTGCTGCCAGTCATCGGTCGCTGCCATTGACGACATGGAAAATTTGCTGCCATTGCCACGTCACTCATAAAATACAAGCATTAAAAATAAAGAAGGGGAAGCAAAACAACAGAAAAAAGAAAAAATTAAAATAAAATAAGAAAGACAAGTCAGCTCTAGGATGTTGGTTGCCTGGCATAATTTAATAGAGTCGGTAATATCAATAAATTTTAAAAGCCTTTTAATGCGCATCGATAAAAATAACCATGGAACATCTTTTTGCGACATAATTATGCTGAAGCGTTGACAGCATTGTTTCAATAGAGTCTGGCCTGAGCTGTCGCCAAAATTTGCCAGCGGCAGCTTTTAGCCTGTGCAAAGATTATTAAGTGCCTCAAGCCAGATATGGCATAAAATAGTTAATAAGGATAAGAGCTTAAATAGGGCTTAGCTATGTAAATAGCTTTAATATATTTTTAAAATTATCTTTAATATAAAAATTTAGCTGTGTCTCTGGTATTTGATCAATGACATTTGATAGCTTACTTATATATAAATCTTATATAATTGTAAATTCTATAAGAAAATAGATAAACGATAAACTATTGCTTATTTTGAAATTTTTTATTTTATAGAAATTTAATAAATTCCAATAAAAAATTATATTAATTGTAAAAAATAAATATAATAAATTTGATATTATTTGACTCTTTATATCTGTCTATACAATAAGGCATGAATAAAAGTAAATTGTAAAAATTACATTTCAAGATCCATGTACTGTACATAATTTTAAATTTGATAGACTATCAAAAACATTTCTTAATAAATAATTTCTAATTAAATTGAAAAAACAATAAAAAATTTATAGATATATATATAATTAAAATAATTAAAAATTAAATGACCATCAAAAATATTGCTTTTTAAATAATGTAAAAAATAATTACTAATTCAATTTAATAAAAGTAAAATAAATTATATCAAATCTAGCTCAAGCTTATGTACCTCAACTAAAGTCATTTGATTAACAGCTTGTAAACAGTTCTGTTTTATTTAATTTGCCCGGCTTCACACTAGGGGTAATTATTTGCATTAAATGTACAATTTTGTGGATTATTGTGCATGTATTTGTGGAGCATTTAAAATAATTCTACGAATTTTATATACTCCATGTAAGCCACAAAATTTAAATGGGTTTGCCTTTGCAGTCGGGGCTTAGAATATTTGTAGCAGACTTTTGCGCGCTCATGCACACTAAACCAATGCCCCTCAACTAGTAAGCGGCACTCGCACGCTATGAAATCAACTCAACAACATGTTCAGCTCCGGCTAAGCCCCCATGGAAATTTACTCGGAGCCACACAAAAAAAGAGGAGAAAACAAAAGCAAAAACAAAAAAAATAAAAATTATAATAAGTAGCAGTGCGGCGATGGCAACGATAAAAAGTGTTGAGCGCTGTCGTTCATATGCAATGGGAACAAAGCAACAAAACCGCAAACAGGCACCACCCACAGCAGCAGCAGCAGCATTGCAGCTGGCCAGCCAAGCAGCCACCAGCCACCAGCCACCATCAGCTGTTGCCGCCAAAGACAATGCCAGCGCATGCATCCCTTGCTGAAATGCAACCAACGAAAATGCATGGTATTAAGGGAATGCCAAGCGAGATGGCCAACAAAACTGAGAAAAAACACAAGCGATGTTTATGCTAACTTATTGAATTTCAAATACCCTTTAGTACTTGGTTGAAAAACTGAATACTTTTGAGTCAAATCTGAAATGCTGTTAGCAAGAAAAATTATGTAATTTAATTACTAACAATCCGACAGGAAATATTCAAAGGCATTTCATAACTAAATAAACAATTCTGTAAAATATTCCGGAAAAACTAAGTTTTGAGTAAACTATTAGTAATTGAACAATATAATTTAATTTTTGTTTACTAAATATAATTTAATATTGATAATAGCTCTATTTTCATTTCATATTTATTATTTTCTATAAAAGTAATATAGAAAATAATAGTTAAAAAATATAATTTAATAAATATTGTATAATTATATGATTTAGCTCTTAATTACATGAATTAATAAGAATAAAGAAAATTAGAATATATTTTATTTTCAGACAAAATTTTTCTGCTATATGAAAATACGAGGTATTATATGAATCAGTAGCCGACTAGGCAATGTGCTTAAGTTATTATAGTAACAACTATACTAATATTCAAATATATTCAAAATAGAAAAAAAAATTGAGAGGGGAAAGATATAGAATATAAGATACTTAAAAAATCGATATATGTAGATATGTATATATAAAAATATATAGACTATAAAAATATAGAAAAATAAAAAAAGTAAGAGCTATGAAGTGAACAGGAGAAAATTTTAATTTTGCCTTTAAGCATTTTAAGTTAAAAAAATATTTAAAAAACTTCAAATTTATATATATTTAAATAGTTATATATTTATATATTTAAATTTTTATATATTTATAAATTTATATATTTATGTATTTATGTATTTATATATATTTATAATATACAATCAGCATATTTTTTTTGCATTTTAGCATTACTTCTCTTGTAAATGCCGTTTTAAATTTAAAAATATGAACAATTTGCTGTCAACAAATTGAATATGTCAGGCTTAAATAATAGAAAGCAAAGCAAATACATTTCCTATTGGAAGAGGTGGATTGGATTGGAGTGAAGACTTTGGAAGTGCAGCAGCTGAGTTGGCCTGCTTCAGTCCCAGCAGTTGGAGTGGCTGCTGCTGCTGGTTGCAGCCATTGCAACTTTCGTTACGGTTTGTTGCCTTGCACACTGCACACTGTCGAATGCCTTTGGCTTATAAAATATTTAAATATTTTGTGGCAATGGCCGCAACATATTTGCACAGGGCCGCTGTTGCGAGCGTTGGCTAAGAAAGCGGCTTGGGCGCACTTCACTAAAGTTCAAGTGGCGCCGCCTCAGCGTATGCTATTAATATTGTGCGACAGCTGTTGGACTGTTTAAATATTTATTCAATACGCAAAAAGTATGGCGTCAACGCGGCTTATCAGCCTGGGGGTCTACGGCCAAGGAGACAAAGAGCCAAGGATGATGGGCCAACGTTGTCATTGTCATTGGTTCCGCAGTTGCCGCTTGATATGCTAATATGGTTATGGTTACGGCTGCCGCTGCCGCTGCCGTTGCTGTTGCTGTTGCTGTTGCCGTTGCTCTGGCTGCTTCTATTCTTTGCGGTTGTCCTTGTCGTTGGCTGAGAAAATTTCATTATGCCAATTACTTGCATCAAAGCTGCTGGGATAATTGACTTTGCTTAGCGGCTGGCAGTGTTAGAGTCAAGACCTGCCCAAGCCCAGACGCCATTCTACTCAGTTTAAAGCACTTGCATAAGACGCCTTTGCACATTAGTTGCCTTCACTGTGTGTGTGGCCCCATTTGGAAGCATAAAATAATTAAGCCTAATTGACAGTTTTTCGGCAACACCTTTGTTCCAGCTTGTGCATCCTTTAATCTAATGATCTTAACTATGCCAGCAAGTGCCTGGTTAGCTTTTAGTATAGTTACAATAACTTGTTATGGCTGCACTTATATAATAAATCATATTATATATATATATATATAGTACAAAGTTTTTATTGCGAGCTTAATAAGTAAAAAAATCATTAAAAAATATGAAAAAAATAATATAAAAAATACAATCATCAAAAACACATTTTTAATAGCATGATAAATTTAAACTTAAAATTGGTTCATAGTTCATAGAGCTCGCTGAAATACTGAAATTGTCTCATATAGCGATAGCTTATTTCTATTTATTTTTAAGGTGACATTTGAGAGTTTTGAAAGATATCGAGTAAGCGTTGATCTTAGTCGTATAATTTAATTTATAGTTATTAGTTAGTTTATTAGTTTCGTTGGTTGAGTCTATATAAATTCCTCCTTATAAATTATTAAGTATAGTATTTTCGTTGTCTATTGTTTCTTTTCTTTATCGTTTCATCAAGGGTTAAGTGGCAATCATGAAAATCTATCCAAATGCTGATGTCTGGTTCTACGTGGACAAACCAGGTTGTTGGGGCAAGTATGAGAAATATGCGCCGCATCACAGCTGGAAATCGCCGGTTAAGCCCTTCACGCCAAAGGTCATGTACCATTGGCGCGACCTCAGCGGCGTCAAGAAGGCAGAGATAAAGACAAAAGATCTCTACTTTGAAAACTGGCCGAAGTCGCGAATTCGTGCACAAGCCTGCTTGGGCATGCTCTATGCAACCGGCTATCGTTTCATTAAGCTCAGCATGGCACCACCGGCTGGTTTTAAGTGTGCACCACTTCCTGTCAATTTGGCCGGTGCGCACATGGTCAACGGTAAGTGTTATGCGATCTTAGGCAAATATATACCCTAAATCTTCATACCAAAACCTATAGATCGCTTAAGGGCATTAAAAAAAGAAGCTAAAAAGGCAAAGAATGCCGCCAAAAAGGCAGCCTTGGCAGCTAAGAAGGCTAATCTCGCTTTTAGTAATAGAGGCAAAAGGCGAGCAAGAGGCTGATCGGGAAGAAACTCAAGGAAAGAGCATGTAAATTATTTCATATTTCTCTAGTGGCAATAAACCTGATTCAGCTTTGAATAAAAACTGTCATTGTTTTAGATGGCTTTGGCTAAGTAAGAATTGAAATTGATTAGATATATCAAATATATTTTATGTATTTATTAGATATTATAAATAAAATATGTATGTATGTATAAAATGTATTTGATATACTTAATACATTTTCAGTTCTTACTCAACCCAACCATTTATATATATTGACTGACTTATTAATTAATTGTAGTCTGAATGGTTTTGGTTGAGCTGTGTCTAACTACTAAAAGTTGTAAATTATAATATGTATATATACTAGTGCTATAAAATGCGTTCGAGACCGGTGCTTGGAGCGGAGGCGCGAGAGAACTGGTTCAGTTGGCATATGAAAAGAGAAGAGACCTTATAAAATTGCAACTCGCTGCCTTTTGAGCGCGATGAAATTAAGGAGAGTAAAATGAAGTCCGAGTTGCCCACTGCGAATGCATCAGAATCACATGCATCCTTCATACATTTATATATTTTTAAACAATAGCCAAAGGCGAGTCGATTTAATGTTCTGGGAATTCGAATATTTATTTACATCTTTAGAGCTTGAGTAACCGAATTTTGAATATAGTTTTCTGTATAGCCTGAGCTAAGATCGGATAACGAATTACTTTGTGCAGATTTGGGCAATAAGCAGATAGCTTTAGCTGCTTCAGTTTGCAACAATAAGTAACCTAAAATAAAGGCCGAGGCATAGGCTCAACAACGTAGCTGCCTCAGCTGCTTTCTGCGGGTCTTAAGCTCGCAATTCAATCTTTTGCCTTTAAGTCAGATGGGATTGATGCGTAATTACTTTCGATAGACAAGTCTTAACTGAAAAGTGAACAGCTAGTAATTGGTCAATTTATATACGAGCTTGGTTTTTTTTACATATAGCGACTTCTAAAACCACTTTGAACTTAATTTAACTGAATGACTGGATATATTTGATTAAATTAAGCCAAATTAAATTAAACTTTAAGCATATTTTTGCCAAAATATATATTTTTTTTATATTTTTGGAAAAATTATTTGTATTTAATATATTAGATTTATATCAATGCAATGCAAATGTTAAATAAAATCATAATTAATTATAATAAATCATAATTAAATAAAAAATAATTGAAATAAAGATGTTAGCATTAAATTTAGCATAATTATCGCCGCACAAGTCTTCTTTGTTGCAATTCATTAGACAACAAAAAGTTGGCTACGTATTGTACTTAACTGAATGAATACTATGTATGTATGTATGTATGTACGTACGCTACATTTATCAATGTAATTTTATCGGCCGCATAATTAGCGTAGCCAAGCGCACTGATTAACTTGCATTCAACGATTTTCAATTGAATTTTGCAGTTCGTTGATTCGAACCAAAAAAACAAAAAAGAAGATATATATATATTTATATATATACATCTATATGTGTACACGTTAAAAATAAAGGGAAATACAGCGAGACTGTGATGCAAATGCAATCATCATAGGACCTGATGTGGGTGTGGTCTGTGGGATAGGTTAATAAAAATACAAAGCAGTATGAAAAACGAAATGAAAAATATGCAGACGGGCGACTGATGAATGCGAATGTGAAATGTGCCATTAATTAATTCGATTAAATGCAGCAATGCAGGCAATCAGCCAAAAAGGCAGCGTGAAGCAATATAGTACAACAGGAGTACACGGGAAACACACACACACGCACACACACACAGTCAGTTAAGAGTCAGTCAATCAACGCAGCAGCCACAAATGACTGAGAAGCAGCTCATCATCAATCGGCAGTGAACTGCAGGGCTTGCACTCATTATAAAGCGTTAAGACTTTGGCTCGGATTGATGTTCGTTATATTAATGGGTGCACAAGCCGTAATACTGCAGCATCTTAATTTCATAAGATGCTCAACAATTTCTGTGCACAATTATTGAGATATATTTCACATTAAAAAGCGAATTTTACTGCCAATTCTCTTAACAACTTTATTTTTATCATCAGAGTTACCTAAGAAGACTTAATCATTTGGCTGGGCAGGGTTGGCGTGTGTAGCACGCAATTAAATTATATCAAACTAACAACATATTATATACTTTTCGCAAAGTTTAGAAATTTCAATAGCTAAAATTACAATTGAAATAAACAAAATGGATAAAAAGGAGACAAAACTTTCCGCGGATGAGCGTCAATTTTTTGTTGCAACTCGCATGAGTTTGCCGCTCTTTATGTTATCACGTAAGTGACTGTAAAATAGCTCTAGTTTCATGAAGACTTAGCCTTGGCCTTTAGGTAATCGTCTGCGTGAGGATAATTTGGATAGTGTTCAGAAGCAGTTCAAGCTAGCTGGAGGACATTACAATGCATCTTGTCAACAAGGTAAATACGATTGAGAAGGTTAACTACAATTAAAGCTTAATATATATCTATTGCATAGAAAATCGTAGAGAGGAGTTTAGTGCCGCAACTTATGATCATTATAGACATGTGACGGGCTTTGAAAAGACGCCCGTAACGCCGTACCCGCCCAAGCGTCCTTTGCGCTACAATCGAGAAATGACCACGTGGCGCGGCTATCAACAGGCGCCGAATCGTTATGGAGTGCTGCCCGAACCATACAAGAGTAGGATGGGCTCCAAGGGCTCCGTTTTCGCTAAGATGCATGTGAACAAAAGTCGGGTGAGCATTAAGCCACCGCCGTCGCAGTTTTACGAGTTGCCATCGGAAATCGAGCGATTTTTTCGACCAGAGAACAAGCAAAAGGGCATCTTCTTAACAAGTAAGAGCCACTATTTAGTTTGCCAATTGAGCATATAGAACTCTTAACTCTGTCTGCCAGATGCGCGTGAACGTCGTCCTTCGACACGCTTCATGACATGCGATCCGACTATGTGCTGGCGCAATCCGGAAGATCCTGGACCCTATGAGACTTATACCAATAACCATGAGATTCGAACAAACATGGCGCCCAAGAAAGTAGTGAAGCTCGACAATCCACATTTGTTTCTGCGTAACTCGTGTGTGTTAACGAATCGCAGCCCACTTTTACGGCCGCACATTAGCTTCGAGCCATGTCCCGGCCGCTATGACATACGCTATCCGAACGTGTGCCCCTGTGAGCGTGGCATGAAGCCTTCGCCACGGCTGACGATCTACATTGAGACACAGAAGCGCAATAAGTTTCGACGCTTGCCATACAAGCCGGTCAATGTTCGCAAGCTTTGTGAGCCCGACTGGCGCCATGTTATTGGCCGTGGCCATAAGCATCTCTTTCAGATGGGCAAGCATGATTTGCCCAAGACACAGGTGAAGAAGACGGAAAAGAAGGGCAAGAAGGCGGAGAAGCAGCTGAAGCTGTATGCTGATGGCAAATATCTCAATATGCTCGTCAATCCGAAACATTTTTCAATATCAGTACGCGATTTCCCCTTGGACCCGTATGTGCCACGTATTGTCTACAATTGCATTGCCAAGCGTATTGTGCGCAAGCAGCTGCGTAACAACAAGAAAATTGCCTTCATGAGCGGCCAGGAGCGCTGGAAGGATGGCGTACGTGTGCTACAGATGACACAGCGTCAGTTGGAGGAGATTAAGGCGAGATTGCCGGAGGATCGACGTCTCGAGGATCATCCAATTAACTTGCGCCCATCGAAGATGGTCAGCCGTCTGCAATTTGTGCCCGAACGCATGCGTACCACATACCTGCCCACGCTGCGCAAGCGCCTCTTCAAATTTCTACCCATACCTGGTGCTCGGGTCCTGGTCACCGACAGCGATATACGCCCGGATTTGCCATTTGATCGCGAAAATCCGACGGGCCTGTACCATGTGAAGCTCGACGAGACGAAATTCTTTCGTGATTCGATTCTGTTGGAGATGGAGCAGCAACGTTTGGGCATCGCTAAGCTTGATAAAACAGCCGAAGATAAGTCTTCGGAGCCATCCATGAGTGGCATTAGCATGACGCCTTCAATAACTTCCGCCGGCAAGTCCTCAATTCAAAATAGATTAACTATATTAATGGAAACCCAACCAGATGACTAAGGTGTCTTCTTCTCTCTCTCTCTGCGCTCTACCTTACTATATGACTTCTCGAAAAGGAGCGCGCATGAGCATCACGTTTACATAGTTTTATGATTTATATGCCATGCTCCAGTAAATTTTAAAGCCACCAAAACTGTGCTGCTTTAGCTACTCCTGCCATAAAGCAGCAGAACGTAACTTTTGACCATAAAATAAATAACTTTTCAGTTGTCCGTCGCCCAGGCTTGGTTTCCGTCTGCATGTGTGTGTTGGAAATGGCCAAAAACCAGCAGAAGCCAGCACGAAATAATTAAGTTTTCCAACGTTTTGCGGAATCTGTGCCGGGTCCGGGATTTTCTAGCCAGACAACTACTACGGTCTACGTGTGGCCCGCTACATGTGGCCATTAAAATTGCGAGCATATCTCATATCTACTTGCTTAGATTGTAAAACATAATCTGTTATCAATTATTTTAGCTGCGTGCCATTTTGGCCACAGCGTGGTAGGCGTGGCCTTCGCCCTCGGCCGGCAGGCCAGTCGGGAAACTTGCGAAAGCGCTCACGTGGCATTTGCTAGAGCAAAAAGAAAACTTTCCACATACTATTTATGACTTAGTTAAAATTTTGGCATGTAAGCAATTTCATTTGCTGCGCCTCAGCAGCTGGCTCATAAAAATGGCCATCCTAATCGATTTTCGACTCTTTACTCGCTGCGTGAATTGGATGAGTGAATGAATGAATGAACAAGTAAAGCGGCTGCAGGAGTTAATTGAGTTTTGTGAGCCAAAGGCAGCAGCAAAGTCAGCAGAAATTAACTAAATAAAACTTCAGTTAAAGGGATTGAATCAAGCATAGAGTTCGCTTAGTTGAGTAGTATAATATATATTATATAAGAGTTTAGCTAAGTTTTAAAAATATATATGCTCAGTAAGAAAGCTCTTGTCAGGGTGCCTGACTAGGAGATACTCTGAGCCCAGTCCCATCTGTGGTTTTTAACATTTTCCGAAGCTTGTATCGAGCAGTAAAAAAATATCACCGACATTATAACACCAAGATTCGAACTAACATCGCCTACACAAAGCCCATCGACTTTGCCAAATAAATAAATAAATAAATATATATATATATATATATATATATTAATTGTTTTGCATATTTTTTTTTCTTTTTCTGACTTACTATTTATTTATTTTAAACATTTGTTGTATTTTTAAAGAAAAAATTGTCATAAATATTCATTTTGTAATACGTAAATAGATTATTTAGCAAACATTTTATTAATGTTATTGTTATTGTTATTTAACATATTAACTATATTTGTATACATAATACATTTGAATTGAAATATATTTATAATAACATGCATGTGTGTAAAACTATGTTATAAAAATGAATAAAGAGAATAGATTCTTTGCCTGTGGCAAACACTAAGCTGACTGTGAAAATAACTTAAGAAGGTAAATAAATTAAATATTTATTTTATATATAAAATAACAGTAAGGTAATTAACAATTTGGTTTGATTTAATTGAATTTAATTGAATCGTTACTAAATTAGCATTACGAAAAGTATCATGAGAAAATCTTATTACTAATGATCATTATCGTTAATGATAATTACCAGTAATAATTGTAAACATAAATTGTCATCATTCCGAATGATCACTATCGTTAATGAACATTACATCGAACTTCATTAGCATAATAACAATCTGTGCTTATTAATAATAATTAAAAGTTACATAAATCTTAAGATTGAAACAATTAAATATTTATTAAACAAATTGACAATGAATAGAAAAACTTAAATATATTTTCAAATATATATTAAACAGAAACAACCTTCAATTATATAAATAAATACAATAGTTATTAAATATAAACAAATTATTTCAACTTTAACAAAATAAACTTAAATTTATTTATCATTTGCACTGAACCGCACAGCGACTGACCTAGTCCAGGTCACGAACTTGACTGATCGCCCACAGCCGCTGCTGCGCTCTTTTATACCCAAAAGTCACTCAAAAGGCAACTCCCGCAGAGCGCCAGAGCACTCTTTGAGTGAAAATTTTATTTTGACTTAGAAGCTGACTGAGGTGAGGCACGAATGACTTGACGCCCCATGGTCAACTAGTAGAGCGCGTATAGAGCTACGATCATGCTCCTTCTCCAGTGACTGTGATCAGCTCTTTCCTTACTTGCACTCAGCCGGATTGCCTAAAGAAAAACTCTTAACATGTGCTCCATCTAACCGCATTTAGTATCAGCATAGATCGCGTTAGCATATTCACAACATTTGAGACTCTTTGGTCATTAACAAGTATAATTCTTACCTCAAAGTTAATTGAAAACTGTGTGAACTTTAACACAATAAGAGATAAATGAAATTTAAGTTCATAGTATATCGTGTAGTAGCTCTGATTATAATCAAAATTTCAATTTGGAAAGTCAAATAGCCAATTGAAATGTGTTTTGTAGGGCAAACTCAGAGAGTTGGCTGTTACCGCATGTAAAGTTTTTTTCCCTCTTCTTTTGTGCCATATGAAAGTAGTTGCAGAAAAGGTTCAAGCCATGGAAACGCTGCAGCAGCACACGTTACTTTTGTTGTGTATGTGTATGGGGAAAACAAAAACGTAACGGGAAGCAAGCAGGATACAAAGCTCCATTCAATGCATTTTGTTTACCAGCTGCTGGCAGCTGATTAACAGTGACAGGAACGCCCCAACATGTTCTGACTGCAACTTTTCCAAAAGAAAATTATTATGGTTAATGTTGTGCGGCATTGTTGTTGTCCTTGTTGTTGCTGCCGCCGTTGTAGACGTTGGCAGTGCAAATATTTTACACGCCACAAACACAATCACAAAGCCCAAGCCAAAGTGCACAAGTAAAAGTAAATTATAAGCAAAAGGCAACAATGCGACGCAATGTTGAAATGCAGCTGATTGTGCGCGAAAAGTTGTTTTTTTTTCTCGTTCAGCTCCGTCTTCCTTTTCTTTACTTTTCATGGAGAATAGGAGCGAGGACAGCAGCAAGCAGCAAGCAGCAGAACGGAAAGACAGTGCACGCTTTTCGGTTAACATGAGTTATTATGGCAAAGTGGGCGGCGAGCCAAGCAGCCAGCGTCTTGCCAACTGGTTCAAGATGAAGCCATTGTGGCAAACGGACTGGTTGGCGTTGCCTTTTGTCCTCCACCGAGTGAAACTTATACGCGAGCGCGTGCGCCATCGTCCTGGCCCCACCTAGCTGTCGCTTGATATGGCATTACATTTGGCACACGCTTCGAGGGGAACTTTTACTGCATCATGATGAGCTGATTAAAGATTTCCAGCTGAGATCCTTTTTTAATAAATTGTTGTACAGTAAAAAATAAAAAGAAGAAATAAAACTTATTGTTGAATTGATGTTTGTATTTTTACTCGCAGGTACAGTTGTGTCTGCAGCTTTAATATTTTTATGGTAAATCGAAAAGTTTCGTTGAGCTGAGTTATAATGTGAGCTATTTAGCAAGAATAGATAAATAAACTTCATTTTAAATTGAAGTTTTCATTGTTTTTAAATCAATTTATTTATTTAATTTATTATTTATTAATATAAAAGAAAATAAAAAATTTGTAAGTTAATTATGGAATAAATTGTGTAATTTTTATTAATTTAAATTTTATTGATTTATTTTATTTTATTTTTGAACTTTAATTTTATTTTATTATTATTCTTGCATATATACAGTTTTTTAGTTATATATTATCTTATTTATTTTTATTTATTAATTTTACTTGTCATTTTTTGTATCGTTTTTTCTTTTTTTTCCTATATACTTTTTTTATTTTTTATTTAAATTTTGTATTTACATATTTTTTTATGAATTATTACTTTAAAAATATTTTAGTATCAATTTTATTAATTATATAGATATTTTTATTATTTTATTTTAGTTTAAAAATTATTTATCGTGTATCTTAATATATATGTATATTTTTTTTGTATTTATGTTTTCTTTATATATATATTATTTTTTATATAATTTTTTAATACATATAAATATAAATATGATTTATTGTATTTCAAAATGATTTCGTGTGAATACGCTTATTGTTTTCACTTAGAAAAATATGTGAAGTATTGCATAAATTGTTAAATTATTGATTATTATTATAGAAATTCATTTTCAGTTATTTTGCTCTGCGTAAATTGTAATTTTTGTCTATTTGCAGGGTATTTGAAACGCGATGTTGCATTGCTTGCACTGACTGTATTGCATACTTTTGTGCGTCGACAAAACAAATGAGCTGTGGCGCTGGCACAGCGTGCTGCGTTGACTGCAGTCTATGAAAGTTGGCTTTGCCACAGACTGTAGCCATTGTTTGCCGTTTTTCTTGCCGAGATTTCCATTCTATTTGGGTCATGGGGTCGTGTCGTGTGCAAATTGCAAACAGCAGCAGCAGCAGCAACAGCAACAGCAACAGCAGCAGCAGCAGCAGCTTTTGCTGTGCGTGAGTCGTGAGTCGCACTCCCGACATGTCGACTCAACATTTTCAAATAATTTCTGATTAAGCTTGGGCACCAACTGTCGCCCCCGCCAGCCCCTTTGGCCTCTTGTCCGTGCCGCCATGCTGTGTGACAAACGCAGCGGGCGCCAAGGCAGCTCCGGCAACACGCTGACATATTGCGGCGCATAATTTACCGTTGCTTATGCTTTTTTCGCCGAGTGCAACTAATTTTTGTTTGTTGCAAGCAAAAGCCACAAAGATTTATGCTTGAGAAATTATGCTTTAAAACTTGAGCGTATGTCTCCGTTGCAGTTGTTGCATTGCAGCTGCCGCTTGTTGTTGTTGCCGCTGCATTCGCTTAAGTAATTTAATATACTTTAATGCCAGCTTGCACTCCCTGCTCTTTGTCTTTCATATACACACACACATGCATACATAATGCATATTAGTGTATGCGCATATAAAAGACGTGTATTATGTGAGCGGGGATGTTGCAGCGGCAGCAGCAGCGGCAACAACGAGCAGCGAAATGTTCATAAAAATGTAAATGTTCTAAATGGCATGAGAAAAAGGGACAGTAAGTGAGGAATCATAATAAAAGCGTGTGTAAGGCAACGAGAAAAGAGCGTTGAACCAGAATGTAACACCCAAAGCTTCCAAATTGCGTTTGTGTGCGTGTGCAACTGTAGAATGGTGTGTCTGTGTGTGTGTGTTAACTCGTAAGTTTTTGCGCTGACATTTTAAGTGCATCTTTGTGAATTATTTAAACAAAGAATAATTACACAAGGCATTATATACCGTATGCTATAGAGTGCATAAATATGTCTACTTCAAATAATATTCACGACTTATGTCATTTTCTCTCTCATGCTCTTTATTATGCCGTCTCTTTCTCGCTCTCTTTTACCGCACATTT